ATGTTTGCCTGCGCTGGAAGATTTTTCTTTTGAGTTGTCTTAATCCATTCAACCTTTGCTTTTTAACTTTCATGTGCCTCTAGCAAACTGCCTATGTGATCCCCAGCCCCACTCCTCCAAACTGTATATGTAACTGATAGATTATAAAGGTATCTTGTACAGACACCATCTTTGTAGTCCCTTTGGGTGCTACCTACATGCCGCTTGCGTTTCCTGTATGTCTGAATGACTGCAAATGTTGTTTTGATTGTACACATATTCCCCCTGCCCCAGCAGACTCAGGTTTTTCTTGTCACTAGGCATATACAGATTACAGATGCTCATTTTATTATTTTTACTTTAAATATCCTTTTTTTGTAATAAAACTGTGCTTATTTCCAAGTAAACATGTTGAGCATCATGACAGCAGAAAAATGCTCAGTTGTATTCCTGGCACCACCTGATCATCCTATATTGTAAATGAGTTTAAAAAGCATAGCTAGGAAAACTCACAGTATTTATTTTCTTTTAAATCAGGGCTGGTTTCTCCCTCTCCCTGTCCTTCATATTAGGAAAGTAGGAGCACTTGTAAAACATGGGATGGTGGCAGAGGGCAGGGGGAAAGGGAAAAGTTAGCTGCATTTTGTAGGGGGTCATCTCAACCATTAAGGCCAGTCTAAAATTAGTCTAAAACTAATTACTAAAATTACTCAGTTCACCACTGGAGAAATCCTTCTTGATCATATTAATATGTTTAGCATTTGACTGAAATAATTTGTTTAACTTTGTAGGTGTTATATACCCGTGGAAAATCATTTTATATGTTTTCTTTGGGGCAGATGTATGAAAACTTAGTCACCCCAGGCCACATTTCCTGATAAGTTTCCAGGAGTCACAGTCGAGCATAGCCAAAGGCAAACATGAGTTTGGCTAAAGCCACATCCATACTGCATCCACACTCATCAAATTCCCACACACTAATGTTTCAATACATCCCTATTCAATCTACCCTCACTTTTTATCACATATATCTGCACTCATCCAGCTATGCAAATGTCTCTATCCATCCATAAGGAAGAAACATGAATTGGATTGTGGCTCTTTCTTTATGGTCTCTGGTATTTCCTTCCTATAAATTTTGTATGCAAGTTATCATCTAAGATAATATAATTGTTCAAATTTGCATGGAATTTGAATCTTTCACCAATGTTGCACACTGGGTCGACATGTTTATTGAGCTATGATTCCAAGAGCTTTTTCTTGCTTAGTCACTGTCAATTTAGTTCCCAACACTGAAGTTAGTATTTCCCCCTATCCTTATATGAATTACTTTAGCTTTAGTTGCACTGAACCATGTTTGCTCTTCTATTGTGCATTGTGTTCTTTTGGAGTACAGAGTAATGATTTAAGGGGGGTGTCACGTGGCCAGAGTGATGAAAGAGGTGGGTCATTTTGCAGTAGAGTTCCAAATACAATATTGTGATGTCCTATGCAAGCCTGTCTCTGTTGACTCATAATTTATAAGTAATTTAAATAGCACTGGTCCCAAGACAGATCCTTTGGAGAGGAGGTCCCTGTAAATTTCCCTTCATTTTGAGAATTGTCCATTTATTCTTCCTCCTGCTTCCTCTATCATCCTCTTATCCTGACTGCTAGTCTTACTCAAGTGTCTTGGGAAGTGACTGATTGTCAAATGACATATTCTGCTGCAGATCTCATTTTAATTATTTATTTTCACACTGCCACTTTTATTAGGGAGAAAAAGCAACTACTGATTCCTTATAGGGTGCATGCAACATTCCCTATCTGGAATGGGGACCTTTTCTGTTTTTCCACTAAAGATTGCTGCAAAGAGGGAGAAACTGACATCAGACCATAATACCTGGGGAAGTCTGGGCCCAACTCAAAGTGTTAAGACTAGCATTTAAAGCACTAAACCGCTTGGTGCCCGGTTATCTAAAGGACCTTCTCTTCCCACATGTGCATACCTGGGCCTTGAAATCACTGTCTGAGGTCCTTCGCAGAGAGCACCATCTAAAGGAAGTAAGGAAAGAGGAGCTACTAGGGGATGGGCCTTTTCAGCTGTGGCACCCTGATTATGGAATCAGCTCCCCAAAGAGGTGTGCCTAGTGCCTACTCTTTATTTTTTTCCGGTGCCGGGCAAAACTCATTTTATTTACTCAGTATTTTAACAGATTGGACTATTGTAATGTGCTTCAGTTGGTTCAGAATAGAGCAACCAGGATGCTAACAGGCCTTTACTATCTACACTGGCTACCAATTGAAGTCCAGGCCCAATTTAAGATGTATGACCCATAAAGCCCTAAACAGCTTAGGACCTGGTATCTGAAGGAGTGTCTTCTTCACTATATGCTTGCCTATCCCTTAAGATCTGGGTTGGAGGGCCTTCTTCGGGAGACCTTCCTAAAGGAGATTAGGAGGGTGGCTAGCTGGAGAAGGGCCTTCTCTGTGGTGGCACCCCGGTTATGGAATACACTTCTCAGAGAGGTGTGCGTGGTGCTGACACTTTATTCTTTTCAGTGCCAGGCTAAAACCTTTTTATTTTCCCAGTATTTTAAGATTTAAATTGCTATTTTAATTGGGGTTTTATTGTATAGAAATGATGCTGTGCTTTACTTTGTTTTATTGTAAAACTCTCCTGAGACTATTTGGTAAGAAGACTGTATAGAAAAGTTTTAAATAAACTTATTTAGTCTTATTTTTATATTGTATTTTATTTGACACAGCTGTTATACCTCTGGGCTGATCTGATTGCATTTGCTATGGGTTTTTGTTGCTATTTTATTTAATATATTATTTTTGTCTGATTTTATACATTATTATATATTGTTCTCTATTTTATTTGTTTTATATTTTAATGCTGTAAACCATCCAGAAAGCCTTTCAGGCTGTTGGACAGTTTATACATTTAATAAATAAAAATAAATAAAATCACCTGTACCAGTAGCATACTGCTTAATCCAAACCCCACAGCTGTTTTTCCTTGCAAATAAAAGTGACCGTGTTAAGCACCTTTTTAAAAAGGCTGATTAATATAGCCTTACCTGTTGTCAAAAGCTTTTTTGACCTCCAAGTGTAGCACATCTAAAGTTGTCTGCTGTCTACCAGAGCATCCAAATCTGCATGCTTGTTGCCACTCTCAAAGAACTCTGCAAGGCTGATGAAGCAAGACTTTGCTTCTCAGAAGCCATGCTGATTTTCCTCATCAATGCTTTTCCTTCTTCTTTATTTTACTAATTCCAGCTTTAACCATGATTTTCAGCAATGTATAGGAGGCAAACTGATTAGTCTAAGTGGGCTGTAATTTCCTGGCTCATGCATTCCCATTCCTTTGTAAAAATTAGAGTTATGCTGGCCAACGTCCAGGCCCATGGTAAGGAGTTTGCTTTTACTGACAATCCCTTTTTTGTCAAGGTGGAGGCACCTTTGCATGATCATCACAAAGGCATGGAGCCAAACCTAAATGGAAAAGAGGGAGAGAACAAGAAAAAGCCATTCTTTGACCTTGAAATTAACAGGTACTTGCAATCACAGTTGCTATGCTGGGGGGTGGGGGGGGGCTGTATTTTCCTAGCAATAAAATGCTGTCACAAAAGTAATAACCTCAGATTATGAGTGTTTCCTGAAGGACGGGATCTGAAATTCAGACTCTGTATCATGCAGAACACCTGGTGTGCAATTAATTATTTGTTTTACCAAAGAGTAGACTAAAAAAACCTGGAGCAAGATTGGGGTAGTACAGTGGGCTGAAGCTGGATCAAAGGCAGCCTGTTTTCTCTGCAGGCTTGCTCTGCTAACTTTGGGTTCATTGGCTCTTCCTGCAGGAAGCATCAGGTGGAACAGCAGCTCTGCACCAAACCCCAGCAGTGTGATCATAGCCCACCCTTCAGATTCAGCAGGGAGAAGATTTATTTATTTATTTATTTAAAATATTTCTATGCCGCCCCCATTGCAACAAAGCCTCGGGGCGGCTCACAACATCCATAAAATAAACATAAAATACAATCAGTAATTTAAAAACTGGCACCATCTCAGCTATATATATTAAAGATGGCATCCAGAATAATTTGACTTACTTGATAAGTTCCATGGCCCATGGTGAGGGAGTGGCATTGAATCGGATGGTCCTGCCACCCTACCGGGAGGAAGTGGAGCAGCTTGTTTCCTGCAACCACTCACTCCTTAGAGCCCATGCACACAACCCCAAAAGCAGGTGTACCTCACTCGGGAGATGTGTGGGTTCTGGCCAGGAACGGGGTGGTGGTGGTGGGTAAAGATAAGAGAATTTCCCTTGGCTGTCAGAGGAGTGAGGACACTTGACTGTTATCTAAGCAAGAGCTTCATATTCTATCATTTTGCTCGCTTTGTTTAACTTAGCATTTTTATGGGCATTTTAAAAGGCCATTTTTAAGGCCGGTCTAAGTACCAAAGAAGAGGGGGCTGCTTCTACCTTTAGCAGGTGTACAGCACCTCAGCAGGTGCAAGATCTATGAAAAAAGTCACAGCCCCAATGCATAGTTTTGGCATCTTCTTCACTTTAATGGCGGGGTAGGGGCGTGCCAGTGGGTAGGTAGAAAAGGAGACCAGCCCGTTGTCCCCGCAGTCCTGCCTCGCCTCCCCAAACGTGAGACGGCGCTTCAGCAGCAGAGCTACAGGCGGAGGTGCGAACGGAGCCTCGCGGATCAGAGCTCGCGAGGGGAAGGGCCCCGCGGAGCAGTTTGCCTCGCGTGGGGAGCATCGGGGGGTCCCCCGGCGGCGTGTCCGCTCCTGCCGCGCGGGGGAGCGCCCCGCGGCCCCGTCCTCTCTTGGGCGCCCCTCCCTGCCTCCCGCCCGCCCGCCCGCCCTCGAGCCCCCATGCAATTCGTGTCGGTCCCTCCCCTCGAGCCGGTGGGAGAGCGAGCGAGCCAGCGAGCGGCTCCGGCAAAAGTTTGCAGGCGAGCCACAGAGCGCGGGCGGCGGCGGGACTGAGCGGCTCTTCCCAGGGAGGGCGCCCTCTTCTTCCCGCGCCCGCTGCCAGCCGAGGCACCCGGCCGGGGCGCGGAGCCGACGCCAGCCAGGTAGGTCCGCGAGGCGAGGCGCGGCGGGGCGTGCTTGCGAGGAAGGGGGGCTGCGAGAGCCGGAGGCGCGCGAAAGGCGTGGGGGCGAGGGGTCCTGCTGGAGCCCGACCTGTGCGCTGCCCGTGAATCGATGGCTCCTGGAGGGAATGAATCGGGACGCGCCACTGCCTCTGCCTTCGCGCCCGCCGCCCCCTCAGGTCGGGTCCTCGCTGCGCTCTCGGGGAGCCGAGCGCCAGGGGCCCCGATCCGCCCCATCCTCGGGCAGAGACATAATTGGGTGCCTGAGGCTTGTAGCCCGCATTCACTCCCCCGAGAGGAAATTCTCGGGAATGAAGCTCGCCAAATAGCGGATGCAGCCCGCGTTGTCCCGCACGGGACGCGTGTTCGTGCGGGGCGAGGGGTTGGCGAATGAACCCAGCGGCTTCTGCAACAGCAGTCCTAGAAGGAAGCCGCGGGGCCTCTGAACCCGCAATCTTAGTCTGACGCCGAGTACACGTTCCTCACGGGCAGCTTCGGACGCGTGCCCTGCTAGCCCGCGAAGGAGCGGACGCGGCGCGCCTTGGTTCCCGTCCCGTGCGCGCCCCGGCAGCCCTGCCCGTTCCCTAGGACGAGGCGCGGGAATCCCGTTCGCGCTTCCGCTGTTGCTGGTGATGTGGGAAAGGCAGCACATAAGTGATTATATGTATTCATTACGTGGACCTGCCCGCTCATCCACAAATACTCTCTGGCAGGGTTATAGAGCACACGCAGAGCCACGGGGGGGGGGGGGGTTGTGCTTCAGGGGACTTACTTCCAGACGAGGTTTTTATGCCGCCGTCACCCGGCCTCATTCACGGATTTTATTGCGTGTGCGGGGCGTGGAGAGCACCGGCATTGTTGCAAGGTGCCTTCTGGTCGATAGCGCCAGGAACCTCGCTCAGGAGGCACCTTTGCCTAGGTAGAACTATTTTCCGGAGGGGTAGCAGTCACGATAGCGGTAGAAACCACAGGGAACCTTGTGGCACCTTAAAAGCTATCGGACCTGTCACGGACTACAGTCCACTTCCTGCAGTTCCGCTCCAGCCTGTTCCACTCCTAGCCCGATGCCTCCTGCCTGTTTGCTCTCCACTTTGCTGGCTGTCGCTTTGCTGCCCTGCAGTGCATCCCTGCAGTGCCACTGCGTCGGGCCGTGCTCTGTCTCCTGCCCCCAACCTATGGCAGCAACCTGGCCACGCAGTCAGTCACCTAATACCTGGCAGGACTTGAACCTAATTAATACTAATGGCAATCTGCTATGTGTGCAGCTGAGAAGGTGGCAGAGCTCGTATGCCCAGTGCCTGGGCAAACACAGTTTGGAAAAGGAGATGACCTGTAGCCTAAAGGTGCCTCTGGAGAAAGCCAAAGTTAACAATCAACGGAAATAATTATGAAGGTACAGAAATGATGCAATCAGTATCTACTCCTATAATATAGGAGGATCTGATGCCCAGCAGTGTGTGTGTTAATGACAGATGGTTTCAAAGTCACAAAACAGCCATATGAAATCCTTGGTTAAATTGCTACATTGCCAAAGGAAGAAACGGATTTGGAAGTGCACAAAGTTCAGGCACCATGATTAACTGTGCCTATAACCCCCTTCACTAAAGTGGAGTCAAGAAAGGAGCAAGACGAGGGACTGTGCCTGCCTGTCTGCAGACAGCATTCTTCTTACCCATTCTCTCCCAAATGCTCAACACGCAAGCCCTTGTTGTGCGAACCTGTGGTATAATTCTGCAGTGCTCCCTCTGGGAAGTTAGGAAGGACAAGCTGGATATCTTCTTTTGTATGTGGCTGCTGGTGTTCAGACTGGAGGTGTTAAAAATGACCTGTATTATGCAAATGCAGTTCTGGTCTATCTGAAGTTGGGTATTTCGGAATGTGTTGGTTTAGAGTTCACCCTATCTTGGCTGGTCTTACTGTCAATATTATTCCTATAAATGCACCATCTCATGCAAAACTCCCTAAAGCTGTCCGCAGCAACACACAGTAAGCTCTGGCACTCACTGAGGCAGGATAACTCCCATATGCCAATATAAAAGTCCCAGCCCAGTCTGGCCTTTGGTTTTGTCTTGCTGATAAGGTGGGTTCACTGTTCTACACTGGCTCTCTTGCTGGTGAGAACAGATCTGTTGCCCGTGTGACTCTGACTTTGGTGATACGAGCTGCCCCTCCTCTTGCTGTGATCAACAAGGCAGGAGATTATGAAAAGCAAAAGAGGCACGGAGCAGTAACACCAACCTCTTGATCTGTGTATGAAAAGCAGAAATCTTTTCCTGTTGGCTTCCTGAGTTAGTTCTGACCTCTGATCCTTATAAAGTGGTTCAGAACAAGAGCGGGGGTTAGCTAACAGTCCTACATTTTTGCTGGGCTCTGCTTCTCTTGTTTGAGTGTGATGACATTTCGGTTCCTCACAGCAAATTCTTAGAAAAGCTGCCTTTGAGCAGAACAGTCTCTCTAATTAACCTTTTGCATCTGTGATATAAAATGGAGCTTCAGCTCAACTTTGCAGGAATTTCTTGATTTTACTGTATAATTCCGGCTTCAGCCCCTTCAGCCCATTCTGGGCCTATTCTGGGCATTCACGGGGCACATTCTGAATACTTTGTTTCTATCCATCTGTATCCTTCCAGAAAGCAGAACTTGTGGAAAATCCTTCTTTTGTAGTACATTCTTAATTTTTGCACTTTTACAGCTAATTTTTTCAATGTCAGTCTACAAGGATTGTATAAATAAATGAATATGTTTCAGCATTATGAAAAGAACTGACCAATGTCTGATTTTAATTTGATAGGGAATGCTGCTTCTTCAGGTGTTTTAAAAATTTGGTGGCAGGAGCATTTGGTGCCATTGGATATAAAGGGCTTGAAGAGCAGATGGCCCTTTTTGGCTAATAGGTTGGGACATAAATCTAATAAATAAATAAATTTATGTGAAGGGGTAGAAAATTACAGAATGCAAATATTTAAAACTCTGACTACTGGGATTCACCCATAGATCACTTCTAATCTCTAAGCTTTCATAGAGGATTGTCTCTACATGTTTGAACATTTTTAAATGGCGAGAACTAGACACAGAGGTGTTTGTCCTCTTTCCAGTTAAGTTGGGATTCTCAGAAATGGAGATAAGTTGTAATATTCCACAATATAGACAGATTCCATGCTACATAGAGTAATTGTGGTATTGAAGATTTCCAGGCACAAAACTCCTTTTCCAATCTAAATAATCGCAACCCTGCCTTGTAGCCTAAATCTTTTGCAAAGTTGTCTTCTGCCCACCTCCCCCAGTGAACAATTATAATTAGCTCCCGCTTGTTGGATTATTGAGCCTTAATGTAGCAGACAGCCTCCCATCCCTTCATGTTTAGTGCATTTTCCTGGGCTCCAAGATCACCGCAGACGGGGACTGCAGCCGAGAAATTAAAAGGCGCTTGCTCCTGGGGAGGAAAGCTATGGCCAATCTAGACAGCACACTAAAAATCAGAGACATCACCCTGCCAGCAAAAGTGCGTATAGTCAAGGCTATGGTTTTCCCAGTTGCATGAAAGGCTGTGAAAGCTAGACCATAAGGAAGGCTGAGTGCCGAAGGATTGAGGCCTTTGAATTGTGGTACTGGAGGAGACTCTTGCAAGTCCCTTGGAGTGCAAGGCGATCAATCCAGTCAGTCCTAGAGGAGATCAACCCTGACTGCTCTTTAGAAGGCCAGATGCTGAAGATGAAACTCAAATACTTTGGCCACCTAATGAGAAGGAAGGACTCCCTGGAGAAGAGCCTAATGCTGGGAACAATAGATGGCACAAGAAGGGAACGGCAGAGGATGAGGTGGCTAGATGGAGTCACTGAAGCAGTCGGTGTGGACTCCGGGGGATGGTGGAGGACAGGAAGGCCTGGAGGAATGTTGTCCATGGGGTCGCGATGGGTCGGACACGACTTCGCAACTAACAGCAACAACAACACTGCATGAGTCTCTCCAGATAGATCCCCCATTGCTTGGGCCTAGAGCAGATCTCATCAGTCCCTCCATTGCTTGGACCTACATCCATATCAGTTCCCTTGCGCTACCAACACAGCAAAGGATGTGCATGTCATGAATGAGCCTGGATGCATTTGAGGAAGATGGGGTGCATCGTGGCATCTCCCATCCCTTTTCTGGAGTAATTCAGCTCTCATTGCAGCAGCTCTGGTGACAGGATCATCCTGTCTTCTCATGCCCCACCTGCAATGAACCCCAGCAAAGGGTCTGCCATAGATGCAGAGTCTGAGCCTGATCAAGCCTTTTAAGTATTAAATTTTGCTGGTGCCCAATGAACTTACTTTAAAGTGATGGCCGGAGTCCAGCTGAATCCAAAAGCCATATTCTCAAGGCCCACCTGTCCCACCCACCAATCTATTTTCTAGTGTCATGGATCTATTCCACAGAGTGCTGAGGGTCCAGTGGTGCCAACAGAAAGTGTGCGTGCGTATGCATGTGCTTGCATGTTTTCCTTCTCAGCCTGGCTGTCATGCTAAGACAATTTTCAAGGGAGCCTGCAATTAGAAGGGCTATGTCTCCCCCTCCCACACTTTGTAACACCCCTGTCCCAAATCTCTCCCTTGTATGGCCACTAAAATGAGGGGAAACAAGGGGGGGACCTTTCTATTGGTTTTGGGCAGCCTCAATGTGTATGCAAATTACTTGAAGAATTTATTTATTTGAGATTATCTGGATGAGAAATGTATTGGCTAGATTTGCCTGCTGTGAAGCTGAAATGAATCCTAGCAATTATTTCCAAGCTCAAAAATCTAAATTAGCTTTTGTAGATTTTATGCCTGGAACCCAAACTGTTAAAGTTCAATCCTATGCATTATTATGCCTATTATTATTATTAACAAGTCCTGTGACTCTTTGCATGGCTGGCTGGGGAATGCCGGGAGTTGTGAGAAGGAATTTTCCTGAATTGTGCCCTTCTGTGCTGGCAATACGCCTGACAGGACGCCTTATCCCCTAACC